AAAAAATACCGTAAAAATGCAATATCTCATCAGCAATAAGCTATTAGCCCGAATTCTTTTTAGGGTTTTCATAGCTCATTAGGGACTATGTGATGCACATAGTCTCGACTCAAAAGCGAGGGAACAGTTGATGGCCTTCCCACGTTAATCGTACGAAAAGTTTGATTATGTAAGGAGGAAAAACGCGACTTCATGACACTTCACTTGTAACGGATTGATCATAAAAAATAAACCTCTCAGTATTTTGATAGTGAAAAATGAAAGTTCTTCTTTCTTAAAAATACATTTTTTTTAAAATTCTCTATCATCTTACAACATCAAAAAGAAAAATATAAAATTAATATGATGACATTTTTGTTGATAAATTAGTATCAATCTTTTTATTCTCTAACCATAGTCAAAAACAGAGATATCATAGAATTTTATTTTTATATAATAAATATAAACTATATTTAGAAAAACAATTGATAAACAACAATATTTTTATAAGGACTAAATTTGAATCATTTAACATTATGAAATGAATACTACTAATAGAACTCGATAAAGAAATGTCAAATCAAGATGTTATTTAAAAGTTCTCTTTATACTTTTATCAAAACTAATTTTGCGTAGTAGACTTTATACATTTCCAATGTCTTACACTAATGAGATATAAAAGAAAAAAATCCTAAAGTTCACGTCTATAGTGAAAAATGTACCGATTTTGATTGCTTGCAATAGTATAGCAAAATTTTTTTTTTGTCTATCATGAAAGATTCAAAGAAATTAATTCTATTCAATGAACTCATGTTACTCGACGCTATTAGAATTTTGTAAGATGTCAACTAAAAATCATGTTGAAATAATAAATAAGAATCAGTAAAAAAAGAAAATTCACATATTTTACGTTCATTGACTCATTTTAAACAATGCGCGTGAACGAAATTTTAAAAAAAACATGAAATAAGATACTGAAAAGCTTACAAATAATGTTTCTATTGTTCACGAGTGATTACCATAATTTTTCTCGGTGGACTTTTGTAATAGCCTGTAATTTATGTATACATGTTTAATTTCTATTCAAAAGATTCAATAACTTCTCTGAATTTTGTAGACGTGTAGCAAGACAAAAACAATTTTTTCAAAACTTTTATACTACCACCCATTCTTTTAATCCTTTTTTTCTTGTTATTCATCGTTCTTCAAATCTTGAAAACCCTCGTGCGAAATAAGACTAAATGATAGGATATCGATATAAATTTATTTATAATCTTTTATTTTTCTTTTCAAGAACTAATATTGTTGATGTGTTGATTATATATGTTGATATATAGACATAACTTTCTAGTATGTCTTCTTACTATTTATTTATTATTCTCTCTGAAAGAAATTTGATAAGAACGACAAAAAAAAATTACTGTCCCTAAATAATAGGACATCCTATTATAGCCACAAGGTGTATAAGAGCAGACATTAGCCAACCAACTTTTAAGTATTTAAATAAGATGATAAAGTGCACTATAGTGAACTTTCAATCAAATTTTAAATATACCGTTGTTATTATAGATCAAGATTCTATATCAATTATGAATACATTAAATTCTAACCCTATAGCTATTGCTGCCAAGATCTAGTATTCAATGAAATCTTCAAAATAATACAAGATGCATTAGTCTCATGAAGTATAAATACTACTAGTTTCAATTAATGCATCGAGTATCTTTCAATAGATCAATTTGATATTCTCAATTATTTTCTACTATTTCAAAGTTCTCATTGTGGACTAGCTATGATAGTCACGAGATATGTACGAAAATTCCGTCCTGGAAAACTACTAGATCTTAGTTACGATAGCTATTGATTAGAATTTAATATATTCCTAATTGATATAGAATCTCTATAATATTCTCATTGAAAAAAAGAACATCACCCTAATATATTATAACTGAAAATTGTAACATAAAGTGAGAGCAAGATATTGTATGTTATGATAACAAAGATATATCTAAAATACGACTAAAAAAAAGAGTGTCAGAAGGTTTGCTGTAGTTAACTTCATCATCTTATATAAATATTTCAAAGCTAAAAGGCAGTTGGCCAATATTTATTCTTCTTCATCTTTGTGCTTTTATGAAGTGTTGTATTACGTATTTTGAGACAGTCATCATTTCTTTCTTATCAGATTTCTTACTGATAGAATCATAAATAAAAAAAAAAAAAAGGATGAATTGTAAGAAAAAAAGCTATGTCGATATTAGTATATAATGAACAATATTTCTTCTTGAAAAGAAAACAAAGTGTTTATATACAAATTTATGTTGATATTCGATGATTTTAGAGCATTTAAAAAGTTAAATCTTTTATCCGTTGATTCATATTTTATTTTCAATCGTTAGTTTTATGCTAATCAAAATGTCTAAAAATGAAATATATACATCAAATTTGAAGAACAGTTAATCGTAATTTACATTTTTATTTAAATTCGAATATTGTACAATTAATTAACATTTTAGTAAATTTAAAAAGAAATAAAATACATAATAAACACAATAGAATGACAAGAATTAAAATTTATAAAATTGATAATCTATTTATATCAATAAAATAACATTACTCAGTATACAATCATTTAATATTTTAACATAATTTATGTATATATAAAGAAATTTATATCAGTTGTCATCAAAATGATATGTGCATTTGATTATCGAATAAAATTCTCGATTTTTTTTTTTTTTTTATTAAAGATTAATAAATTCGATTAGAATAAGTAATAAAAAAAAATATAAGATGAATCGTTTAGATTTTTCTTTGTAAGCTAATGTAAGCAATAAGAAACAGCCTGCTTCGATTAGACTAACTGTTCTTATTTCTTCATCCATTAATAATAAAAAAAGAAAAAGAGACATCACGTTTCATGCCTTTCTGCTATTCTTATCTGACATTTCTACTGAATATTGAAGATGCTTCCTTAAACAGATAATCTAATCACTAATAGTTTAATCTCTTTCGGAAGACTAGATTAATTTTCTATAATATTTAAGAATAATTTTTCGAAAATTCTATTATATCTTATTCATTTGATTTACCTAATTTTTTTTTTGTTTTCAACTGTAACAAGAAGAATGATATTGAAAAATTATTTGTAGCAACTTCATACATCAACATTATTTATTTTCTGGTTTGTCAAATGCAACGAAAAAAATGGTAGTTAACACATGAAGAAAATTGTCATCATCAATCAAAAACAATAACCTGTTATGACAAATACATCAACCAAATAAAATTCAATGTCCTACATCTAACATGAACAGCTGAATCAACAAATAATATAATATATAAATTGATCACACTTTCTATCTTTAATATGAGATTTTCTTTTTCTTGACTTCAAAAAAAAGAAAAGGAAAGCAGCAAACTCTTTCTTTCTATTATCATAATCGATCATTCTGAACATGCGTAAAGAAAGAAAAATCTGTTCATTAACATTCAAATCTATTTGACAATTCTATCAATCAAAAAAAACTTGATCTATTCAAAATTCTACAACAACAAACAAGATGAATAATTTTACTAAATGTTCTTTTTTATCATTATCAATGCATAAATTTTGATCCACTAAACAAAACAAAAAAAAAGAAAAAGAGAGAAAACAAATAAATGTTGTAAAGATGCATAGACAACAAAAAAAAACAAACAAATAAATCAATTTATAAGAAAAAAAAAAAGAATAATAATAAAGACTTTGCGCGCATACACACATATATAGATGCATAACATAAACACCGGCTCCTTTTCTTTTTGTGATCTGCACACAAAAAAAAAAATAAATAAATAAAGAAAAAAAAAAAAAAAGAAAACATAAAAGGCACATCATACATAGATTATCTTTCATATTTTTTTAATAATATTTAGGATGCTTTCTTTCTTTTTTATATGTTTCGTCATTCTCTATCATTGAAGCTGGAGTAGTTATTTGATTTTAAGATGAAGAACAAAAAAAGATTAAAATAGCACAAATAAAAAAAAAACGTAGATATTAGAAAATAAGAATATGAATGGAAGGTGCATGTTGCAAAAAAGAAAACAAATGTGCGTTGTTTTGAATCTAGATTTTTGTTTTTTTGAATATCTTGAAAGAAGACAAGAGAAAGAAAATGAATTATAAAAGAATGAGAATATGAATAAGTCTGTTGAAGAAAAATGAATATCATCAACAATTCTCTCTCTCTCTCTCTCTCTGAGCAACTCTATATACAACAACATCAAATATGATAACAACATTCAAAAATCAGACGATGAAAATATGAATTAAATCAGAAAAGAAAGATCACTTGTCTTTGTCAACATCACCATTGACAATATCTTGTTCATCGTCACTTTCTTCACTATCACTTCGTTCATCTCTTTTTACCTATAATTAAAAAGAAATAATATATATATATGTTATATTTTAAAGACATAAGTAATCCTTATTCTTTATTCGAATTGCTTCATCAATTCAAATCGTCTCATATTTCGATGACAACAAAGCAGAAAATAAGAGCAAATATAGACATAAACACACTCTTCTAACCAAACAGAAAAAAAAAAGGTATACACACATACACACAGACACGCACACGTATTCTCTTATTAGGTTCTAAATATATACTGAAATGTAATACGACTGGTTTTACTAATGGTTCTAAAAAAAGAAATAGAAGAAAACTAATCATACTTTGCCGGCTTTGAAAGCTGAAATGGCCACTTGACAAATTAGATAGAACCAAAAATAGTGAAGAATTTGAAGAAGTAATAAAAGTCCATTGAAAATATAATAAGCAGGAAATAAGCCAAGAATAATCATTTCTTCAAACGTCGTCGTATACAATACTCTATATGTTAAGAAGAAAACAATTTTCAAAACAAAACAAAAAAAATGTATCACATAACAAAAATATAGTCTATTATTTACTTATATGGATAAAAGCACAGACGTGTTATAAACCAAACAACGGCAAATATCACGAACGTTGTATCACAGAGTCGCTGTGCTCGAGCATACTTAGCCATTTTAGCTCCCTAAAAAAAAAACATCAATGCAATTGTTATGAAACAAAAACAAAAAACAAAATGCTTTATATAATTACTTCAAGCCAATAATCTCCTGAATCATGTACAACAAGTACTAATGTTCCTACACGTACAAAATTGACAATATAAGAAAATGAAAGTAATGATATAGTAGCAATATGATGAATAAACATTTGCCAAAAATCTTTTCGTTTAACATCAATAAATTGTGAAAAAATTAATGACCAATAAAAAGCAAGTTCAATCATATAATACCAATAAATATCATTTGTTAATTGATGATTTGGATAATTTAACCAACAATGACGTGTATCCCATAACCAAATTTTCTTAATAGAAAAAAAAAAAAAGAAAATCTATCATATATATATATATTTCTTTATTTTATTATTAAATTTACATTTTTTAAAATAAATAACCCATATAAAAATATACTAAGATAAAATGTAAAACGCCATGTTGATTCACTAAATTTTGCTAATGGACTCATACGTGTAGAATGTTTTTTTTTATTTTTATTATCATATATTTTTGTATGATTTAATAATTTTTTATTAATTCGTTGTATATTTAATTGATTATCATGTATATTAAATAATCTACCAATTGGTTGAGCAATATAACATTCAAATAATAAACGTGTTAAATAAAGTAAACCAGCTAATGGATAAACATAAATAAGATCTTGAATATTTGGTAAACAAATATTATTTTGTTCAAGTTGATTAAAATTTTTCCATGTTATATTTTTTGGTAACCAAAATTCATCATTCCAAATCGATAGATTCATTTTTATTTTTGTTTTAAATAAGAACAACACTACATAGTGAATGTATATATACTATAGATATATATATATATACATAGATTTTTAAATCATGATCTAAATTAAAAATGAATGTTTCAATATTTGTCATTCGTCAATAGACACAATTACTTGAATAGATACAAAAATGAAAATGAGTTAAGACGATATATAGACAAAAAAAGAAAGATGTAGCATAGTTATTTATTTATTTAGTTGTCTTCTCTCTTCTCCTTTTTTTTATTCCCTATCTATTCTCAGTTTAGTGTTGCTGTTTGCTTTCTCTCTCTCTCTCTGTCTCTCTCCCTTCTTTTTTTCTTCTTCATCGCGTCAATATAAATGACGAATTGGAAAATTTTTTAGATGTCATTAGTTGCCATATGTTTTTTTTTTGAGAGAGGCGGATATTTCATTATGTTCTTTATTTAATAATAGATGATGAGCTAATTACAATTTGTTCAATGTATTTTACATATATTATTTAATCATAAACTTTTCAAATAAATGAATTTTATTTTTTTATTTTTTTTTAAAAATAATATCGATCATAATCATGTTTATTATCTTCAAATCAATATCTATTTATAGGATTAATATATTTTAATATTTACCCGTCATAATAATTACTATTAAAATTAATTAAATATTTTGATATGTTCTAATCTGTAAGAAATAGATCAATACTATATATTGTTTATTATTAAATCATTCATCTTCACTTCAAAAAAAAAACATGAAATAGATAATATATATTTTTTTTTTGTAGATCTTTAATTTTAGAAAACATTAATTACATTCATATCTTTGTTGATCATATATTTTTTCATCAATATCTTTATCAGTAAATTTTTCTTTTCCTTCCGTTTTTTTGTACATCTGTCGAGTAAAACACAATATATTCATTAAAATATTGAGAAAATTAATTTATCTCATAATTAATTAGATTTTAATATAATCGGAAGACAATCAAATGTTCATATTAACTAAAATATTATTTGTATTAATACATGAAAGTTTGTTTTTATTCTCAATCGTTTTGTAATAATAAGATTAATTGATATTATTATCTTGATATTCATACATGTGGAAAATAAATCTTAGTCAGTATTTTATTTTATTTTTTATCTAGTATAAAGGGAATGACGTCCTTCTGATGATTGCGTTAGCCTTTCTAGATATTGTATGCTGTCTGTACTTCTAAAAATAGATATTTACTCTTCCGGAAGAAAAAAAATTTGGATAAAATATTGATCGTAGTGAATTCAATATAGATAACAAAAGAAATGTGTAACTTATTCATTTTCATAATACATTCGTCGTCATCCAGATTTTTTTTTTTTTGATTATGATAAAAAAAAGATATTTATTAATATTATTATTATTTTATAGATATCATGTCGGATACATTAATATTAGGTAAAAATGAATTTAAATTACTTGATCAAATTGGTTCTGGTACATATGCAAAAGTTTATAAAGCTATTGATTATCAACATCAACGAGAAGTTGCTATTAAATGTATGTTACTTGATAGTGAACGTTATGGTCTTCTTTGTATTGTTATACGTGAAATAAATCTTTTACTTGAATTAAAACATCCAAATATAATACATTTATATGATATTATACGACATGAAAATGAAATATATTTAATATTTGAATATATGAATACAGATTTATATCAATATATGTTACATAATCATCGACCATTACCAAATATTCAAGTTAAAGTTTATTTTTATCAATTATTAAATGGTTTAGATTATTGTCATATGAATAAAAGTTTGTTTTTTTGATATTTATAAGAAAAATTTTTTTTTTGTAATATTTTAATTTTTCTAGTTTTTCATCGAGATCTCAAGTATGTAAAAACAAAAAAAAAGAACTAATAATAATTCTATAGTGAAGTTTTTTTTTTTTTTTTTCGATGAGAAGTGTTAATTTCCCAAAGGATGTTACCGTTCGATTTGCGTGATGAATTCTATTGATATAGTAAAAAGAAAAAGCAAAGACTTATGATATGAAATGAGAAATAAAAGATCATAGAAATATTTTAATAGAAAAGAATAATTTGAATAATTTACATGTATAAATTAATACTTTTTTTCTCTTAGACCTCAAAATTTATTACTAGATACAAAAGGTACATTAAAAATAGCAGATTTTGGTCTTGCTCGTGATGCAACAATACTTAAACGTGCTTATTCAAAAGATATCGTTACTTTATGGTATCGACCACCTGAAGTATTACTTGGCATTGATATCTATTCAAGTGCTATTGATATATGTATGTATTTTTTTCTTTCTTTTCTTTTCTTTTCTTTTTGTATTTATTCAATAAATTGATTGCCTTATTATAGGGAGTGCTGGTTGTATATTTGCTGAAATGTTACGAAATTCACCTTTATTTAAAGGTGATTGTGAAATATCTCAATTATTTTGTATATTTCAAATTTTAGGTAATTATTTACACATCATATGAATAATTAAATATTGATATAGTAGAAGACAAAAACTTCCTCGTCTATATACTCTATTCGAAAATGTAGACTTAAAATAGAAGATTATTTTAATTCGAACGAAAATTATGATGGATCACATTCTTTCAAATTAATTTATCAGTTATTTTTTTGTTTTTCATGATTATTTGAATGAAAAAATAAAAAATACTATCCGAATATAGAGACAGCAATCTTCAAATTACTGAACATTTTTTTTAATAGACATTCGAAATGTAAAGTAGCAGTGATTTATCTACTGGGTGGGCGCCGCCCACCCGAAATTTTGATTCACCCACATTCGAGAAACGAAATCTAGATAAAACATTGTCCGAAAGGATGGAAAAAATTTGTTCATTTTAAGGTACACCAAATGAAAAATTATGGCCTGGTGTTTCATTATTACCTAATTATAATTCTGATTTTCCACAATGGCAACCCATATCATCACTTAATAAATATGTTCATTTAATAAATAATAAAGCTGAAGATATATTAATACATTGTTTATGTTATCTACCTGAACAACGTTTAACTGCTAAACAAGCTTTACAACATTCATATTTCATACAAGAAGATGAACATATTTCATTATCATAGTATTTAATCCGGTGTCTTTTTTTTTTGTTTTTGAAATAAATCTTTACTAATTTTTGTATAGATATAAGAGTTATTCAATATTTTATGAACTTATGGTAGTAATAATATTCTATTATTTACTATCGTGTTTGAACGTAGTATACATTTGTAATGCAAAAAAAAAATTTGTTATTTGCTAAATTGTTGTTCGAAGTTTGTCAATGACTAAACTAGTGGCGTAACCAAGGTCGGGCCAGGGGGGGCTCAGCCGTACCACTCGACCTTTCAGCCCTACCACCGGTGTTAGCATCGTCAACTGAATCCTTTCACAAGCCCTACCATTCCACAGACCTCAGTAACCTGAGCCCTACCACCGGATATTTAAGCGTTGCTGAGCCCTACCATCGCCAAAACTCTGGTTACGCCGCTAGACTAAACACGTCTTGAACTGTTTTGCGTATGAATATCATCATTAGTGTTGACACAGAGAGACAATAATACTTCTTGTTGTTCTTTAAACAACTTTCATATATTTTTTTTATGTAAAATAAAATTTTATTTTCGAGTTAACAAAAAAAAACAAATGAATGATTTTAGTCTATATTTCCTTCACGTAAACAACAAATTAATTTAGCTGAACCACTATATATAATAGTTAATAGAAATGTTAAAATAATACCAATCCATAGAACTGTACATGAATAATAAGAACATAGACTATTATATTTATGTTGTATACAATATATAAATCCAATAATGGAAAAAACACAACATATTAAAGCTAATAAACTCATAATACTATAAAATATAATATGAAATATTGTTCCATGTCTTGATATTTCAATTGTAAAAATTGATAAAAGAAAATAATAAATATCTGTTGATATCATAAGAAGAATTGTAATGAAAAATAATAAAGAACTAATATCATTAAAACCAAATATAATACCAAATTGACATGAACCGAATATATATGAAAATAGAATAAGTAAAATTTCGATAATAATACGAATTATATGAATAGCACCAACACGATTAAAAGGAAACATTATTTTAATCAATAGAAAAAGGAAAAAGAATATTAAACTAATATTATTTAAAATAAAAGATTATGCTTAACAATTTCGTATTTTTTTTTGATATATTTGTAAATTAAAAGCGGGATATTTTCAATAAAATTGCTCATCATAGAGATGATTAAAGTTAGTTGAATATTAGAGGATGGAAAGTTGTATGTCCACATTTTTATTAATATTATTTGACATCCTGTGTGTATACAGGATTAAATGAATGATCAAAATTTAGCTTTATATTGCTTTCTCTTAGAAAATAGTTGAATCGTAGTCTAAAATCTGAGACGACATGCAGCTTTCTATCAATAAAACTGGAAAAACAAGAACTTTCATGGGACTTCTAGTCTTAACACATTCAACCCGATGAGACCCACCGGTGGGTCTCACTATATTGTACAGTGATTAAGTCGGCTATGATGACAAACGGTTCTCAGAAAATTTTTTCGTCTGTCAGATTTTGTAGAACTCTCTTTGTCGATCATTTTGATAGGAAGTTTTTTTAAATTTAATAAATAAATGACGATGCTAGAGTGAAAATACTGAAAAAAATGAGACAGCTCTGTCTGCTAGAGCTATGATTTTTTTTTCAGTATTTTGACTCTAGCACCGTCATTCATCTATCAAATTTAAGAAATCTTTTTTATTAAAATGATCGGCAAAGAGAGCTCTACAAAGTCCAATAGACGAAACATTTCCGGAGATTTTTTTTTTTTTCGTGGTTGACTACCCATGAAAATACTCAATTATATGTCTGAAAATTTTGCAACTTTTGGTAATTCTTTAGCACATAGTCATTCTATGAATTGTTAGTTATACTACTAAATCCCGTTTTCGACGAGGTTTCGTTTGGCATAAAATTCAATGTTGATTATCATATGTATTTGGAGCTGTACCCTCTAAAAAAATATTATTTGCTACCCCGTAGAATCAAATTGGGTTCAATGTGTTAAAAGGCATCTAAAATAGTTTTGTTACTAAATCTCTTTTGTACTTGAAAAATAATCATCAATATTTTGAGATATATTAATGCTTTTAGTCTTCTTATTTTATCATACAGATGAATTCATTTATTTGAATAATTTTTTGTCTGTTGATTTTGAATACCACTATGAGAATTAATCTTATAGATATAATCTTTAATAAGATGAAATTGAAAAACATCAGGAAAAAGCATTATAGTGAATTGCATAAATTAGAAATTAATAAAAGAATTTTGTTTTTGAGTTTCAAAATTGATAAATCTGAAAAAAGTAAAAAAAATTGGATTTTTTGGAATAAAATGTTTTCCTATTAGTAAAGAAGATACATGATGGGAACGTATTATGTCATATATAACAACGATCATCTCTACTACGGATACCAATCCGATTCGAAAGTTTCACAAAAGTTAGATATATATAAGAGTTTGTAAAATATAACATGATCTTGTGAGAAGTTCTAGAAAACTAAACCTTTAGTTTCTCGACATCTACAGTTCGGCTATAATATTTTCTTTCATCATACATAATGATACAGCTAACAATTTTCTACAAAATAAAACATTTATTCGGCAAACAATATCCGGTTTGCGGCAGATCTCTGGTGGAATCTGTGTCAAGTTGTTCTTCCTTTGATGGTTACTAGAACAATCGCACAACTGTCAGAAATCAGGGTATGTCTGATCGATCTATCCAATTTCATTGGCATAAAGGAGCCACCAGTATTCTATATCAATAATTTTTTTCATCAGTAACTTGTCGAGAATCGTTGCAGAAGAGTAAAAGATCAATATTGTTTCAAAACAAATGTTTATATTTCAGAAATGTACAATAAATAATATTCAGATATATATGAAATATCAATCGTTTTCAAGATTAATTTTCAGTGCTCTTTCAAGAATGTTAATTTTACAAGAACGCGATGTAAGCGTCAGTAATATTCTACTGAAAGGAGTATGGGGATGTGGATGTGGGTGTATTAAGAGCAGGGAAAAAACCACATCGACATCCACACCCAAATTACCAGATTTATAGGCCAAGTAACACTCAATCATGTACACTATGCCATCAGATTGTCCAGTTCAGCTATTCAGAATAAATAGGAATCCATGATATTCTGCGACTGGCAAGTAACCAGGTAATACATGAGATGCCATTATTTTTAAATTTTAAACTCAATGTTGATACAATTCGATCCGCCCTGTCACGAGGAGTCCGAATATCGTCTTGGATTTTCTTTTTGATCTTGTTTTAGCGAATTAAACTATCAATAGACGTTCATCAAAATCATGCCTAAAACTTGCTTTTTTACTTTCCCTGCTTAAAGTATTTTGACTCAATTCTCCTGAAAATAAAAGCTTCTTAAAAATCTCTTTTTTACCAGAATACTTAGAATTAAAAGTTCTATAAACGCAGAAAATTTCATCAAATTCGGCGGTCATTTTTGAATGCACGTCATGGACACCAAGGGATGCTCTCTATAGGAAAAATGGGGTGTGAATGTTGGTTTTGATCAGACAAACCATATACCTACACCAACATTCTCTTCAAAACACTTCTATTCATATACCACCGTTGGAATTGATAAGCACTGATTATGAAGTATATCTTGGAAATTTAGGGCACGCAATAAACAAAAATGAAACATTAGAGACTCTTGAACTGACAGGTTTTAAGAGAGGGTCCACCAGAGGATCGAGGAACTCCATACTCCCGAAAATTTTTATCCCCTCATTTGATTTATGGAATCGATAGCCCATGAGGTGAAACTAATAAATCCACAATATTAGCTCGATTGGTCATATAAAAAAAAAGTTATGAGGATCCTACTGACGACTATTCCGTGATTTAATCAAAATCAGTACTCTTTTTTGTGTTTTAATTGTGATCGTCGTATTACCATCAAAATGTAACCTATTTCCCAACAATTATACACCATTCGATAGCGCATCGAATGCTCTACCAAGTTAAATATACGACAGAATTAAATCAAATCTTCAGACAAGACTTTCCATCAAAAATATTGAGATGTGGAGAACATATGATCAGCAAGCAAAAACAGTATCTTGCGAAATAAGCCCTCAAGGTTAGTTCGTCCCAGAAATTTGGAGTGTGCATCGTATAGAGCAATCAAAAAGCTACCAAATTAGCCTAAACAAAAAAATTTTCATGCCGTAAAAAAAATTCTTTTTTAAGCATCTTTGTGTCAAAAATCGTGAAAAATGCTATTTCTCGCGTAGTATCCGATTTTATTGTGCCCTCTACATCTTCATCAATAT